AGCCCATGCACGTCCACGGGAGGTCTTCTTGGTACCGCCTGATGGAATTGAAGGTGTACCAGAAGCTACTCAACCGCTGCCGCAAGGGAACCACCTGTCGAAACAAGCAAGACAGAAGTTAGGAACAGAAAGAGAGAGAATGAACTAGCAAGAATGGGGATACAAATAGCAAACCCTAGAAGGGTTGTACTCGCTACAGAGCACCCCACTACAGGCTAGAGCATAATATTCTGACACCACCGGCAGTCTCCGTCGGCCGTCTGCAGGAGTGGCCGTAAGAATTACGGTCCTATTAGTCTAATGTCATAACCCATAAAGATGTACTAACCCATACGTCTCCCCTTCACTTTGTGTTTCACAGATGTCGTGGAGCAGTGTCGAAAGCCGGCAGTACGTCCGCAACAAGCGCCGTGAGCGCGGCATCAAGACCACTTGGATTATTAACAGTGACCAGACACCGCAGTGGCTGGAGATGCCCGCGACCTCCACCGTGGAACAGACATGCGTTTGGTCGGTGCCCATTCGGAGTGCGGGGTACCAGAAGGAGTGTGTGATCGTGATGTTGGCATGCATGGCGGATGAGGAGAAGCTCAAGCCATGGGTGTTTTTCAAACGGAAGACAGTGCCGAAGGGAGATTTCCCGCCCAGTAAGAGATGTTTCTTGATATCGTTGCTTCATTCGCTCTATTGATTATCCCCCGAGTAATAACTTTCCGATCTTGGTTGTGCAGATGTGGTCATGGCGTACCACAAGAGCGGGTGGATGGATGCCGAGGACATTATTCGATGGCTTGAGGAGTGCATCAAGCCTTTCCCAAGGCCTCGGTTCGGCAGGCAGGCAAGGAGCTCGATGTTGGTTCTCGATTCCTACCGCGGTCACCTCACAAAGGGGGTGAAGGCAAAATTCGTCGAGCTCAACATCGTGCCGGCGGTGATCCCGGCGGGCTGTATGGCGGAGGTCCAGCCCCTCGACGTCTCAATCAACAAGTCGATCAAGCCCTTCGTCCACCACCAGTACCAGAAGTGGTTTAAAGAAGAGGGCCTAGAGCGACTAACGGCGCATTCCCTCCTCCCTCCTCCCCTCCCCCCCCCCCCCCCCCCCCCACTTTGTTGATCTAACGACTTTTCCTCCTCTCTTTCTGTTGGTGCACGGAACCTCAAAAAGCCGGCTCCGGCGGTGGTTGTGAGATGGATCTTACGGGCCTGGAGGGCAGTGGCCGCCGACCTTCTCAAGCGCACCCTCCTCACTTGTGGCATCAGCAACATGCTTGACGACAATGAGGACGGGCTCACCTTGACGCATAGGCGGAGGCAGTTGCCAGCTGAAGTAGACGTCGACGATGACATCATCGCTGATGGTTTTTTTTGCAACAACTACCAGAAGTCAAAGTCTAACAAGGAGGAGTAGATTAAAGGTAGGTAGGCCAAATTCCAAAATGTGTAGCCTTTGTTAGAAATTTTTGAAAATGGTTGAAATGTTAGAACAAGTAAACTTTTGTAGGCTTGAAAAAAAACGTTTTAATTTTAAAATGTGGGTGCGTTGTTAATAAGTTTAGACTTCATTATGGGTGCGCTCTGCTAGAAACTAACGAGCAGGAATGATTGCATTGAGCAGAATGTGGGTACAAGTGCAAACCCTAAACTGGGTTGTACCCTATATGGGCTACCCCACTACAGCCTACACGGCACAGAAATGATAACAGTTTGACACACCCCCATAGGCAAAGTGGGGGAGAACCAGTGGTCACAAGACCAGTCAAGAAAGGCAAGCAAGCTCAGGGTGGATCACATAGTCAACACACATTCTGAGCACAAGCAAATGGCCACAAGGTCAGTTCACATGCAGCGTTATATAAAAAACATAGCAAAGCGTACAGTGATCACTACCTAGCAAGAGTTAGCATGCATGAACATTTATAGATCACTGTGTAAGCAAAGTCACATAGTGAGCTAGTGAGGCACAAGGCCTAACACAGTACAGAAACGCTGCTCATTACCAGGGAGAAGTGCCTTGGTGAATATATCAGCAGTGTTGGCCCGAGTGGCCACGTAAGCAACACGAAGCTGACCACAGTGCTGTAACTCTCGAGCGAGGAAGTAACGCAGAGCGATGTGCTTTGTTCTGTGCTCCAGTCTGTGCTCCTGACACAAGGAAATAGCAGCCTTGTTGTCTACATACGAAACCGGAGGAGAACGAGGCCACTCTCTCGAGTCGGTCAGCAGGTAGGTGAGCCAGCGTAACTCTTGTGCAGCCATGGCTCCTGCGTAAATCTCAGCCTCACAACTGGAGCTGAGAACAGAAGACGAGCAGGTAGACCGCCAAGAAACAGAGCCGGAGCCAAGGTTGAACGTGTAACCCTGTGAGGACCGCTGTGTAGCCAGCTTGTCAACCCAAGAAGCGTTTGAGTGTCCAGTGAGAACAACTGGACCCCGCCTTCCAAGCACGAGCCACATGCCCGATGTACTGCACAAGTAGCGCAACACCCTCTTAGCAGCCTCCTAGTGCTCTCGTCGGTGAAACCCCGGGCGCAACGTAGCGTGCCAGGATGCTAAGAGGGTAGGCAAGGTCAGGTCGAGTGCAGGCCATCAGGTACATGAGGCAGCCCACTAGCTCTGGATACGGGCCACTCAGCTCTACGGACTCGTCTGAAGGTGGAGCTGAGAGCGAGTGACCGGCAGGCAGAGGAGTGGACTGTGGCGAGGACCAAGTGAAGCCGAAGCGCTGAAGGACCTGCTGCACCATGTGTGACTAATCAGGGTGATGGTGCGCCGTTCTCTGTCCCGGGTGATCTTGTTGAGATAAGCGGTAGTCTTAGGAGCCATAGCTAGGAGAGTCCTAGCTAGGCAAGAGAGTTTAGGCGAAAGAGAGGGGTTGCACTAGCAAGAATGGGGATACAAATAGCAAACCCTAGAAGGGTTGTACTCGCTACAGAGCACCCCACTACAGGCTAGAGCATAATATTCTGACACACCCCCATAGCCAAAGTGGGGTGTAATCAGCAGAGCAAGCAAAGCAGTACAAGCTCAGGGTGGATCACAATGTCACCACACACTCTGAGCACAAGTTTAAGAAGCAATAGTTTAAAGTTCACAATTATGAGCAAAGCTAGTGGTAGTCACAACGGGGAAGTGAGGAGGAGGAGGGCTGGCGAGAGGAGAGTAGATGGGAGGCGACGACTGAAGCTGCAGTCACACGGGCAACAGACGGCTCTGGTGCGACACAGTGGCTACCGGGAGTGAGTGCCCCGGAGTACAGGAGTAACAGGCTCCGCGGCTAAGACGAGCAGCAGGAGCAACGGACCCACAGGCGACGGCGCAACCGGCTCTCTGAGCTACCGGGAGTGAGTGCCCCGGAGTACAGGCGCTGCGTACGACACGACGGCAACCTCCCCTCAACCTCCCCCAACAGTCCCACATCCCTCGACACACACCCGCTGCTACACCGCTAGCTCCACTCCCCCTTCACCCCCCCTTAGTACCACTCCGACGGCTCCAACAGGTCCACCCCCCTCAGCGGCAGCTGCAGCACAGGGAGACGGAGGAGGAGGAGGAGCAGGGAACGGCACACAGAAGCTGCACCCCCATACCCCCCAACCCCAAACCCTAATCCAGGAGAACGGGCAGAAGGAGGGGTGGGGCGCCTTCAGAAGCACGGGGGACAGCGGGGAGGACAGGGGCAGCGAAGAACGGGGCGCCCACGGGCCTGGCACAGCCTCCCGAACCGCGCGCAGGCGGTCCGAGCCGCGCGCGGGACTGGCGCAGCCCGTACGGGCCGCGCGCGTGCCTGGCGCAGCCCGTACGGGCCGCGCGCCGGGTGTACGGGCCGCGCGCAGGCCACGACGGGCGACGGGGGGCGACGCGCGGGTCCCCGTCGCCCGTCGCAGCGCCTCCCGGGGGCGACGTGCCGAGTGACGGGGCAGGAACCCGTCGCGCGCCTCGGGGCACACGGCGGGCAGAGAACCGCCGCGCGCCTCGGGGCGCACGGCGGGCAGAAAACCGCCGCGCGCCTCGGGGCGCACGGCGGGCTGAAAACCCTAGTTTCGACGCCGCGCACCACGGGGCGCGCGGCGGACAGGGAGTAGCAGTAGCAGCGGAAGCAGTGAAGTGGGCCCACAGGCCAGGAACGTTAAGCTCTGATACCATGTTGAGATAAGCGGTAGTCTTAGGAGCCATAGCTAGGAGAGTCCTAGCTAGGCAAGAGAGTTTAGGCGAAAGAGAGGGGTTGCACTAGCAAGAATGGGGATACAAATAGCAAACCCTAGAAGGGTTGTACTCACTACAGAGCACCCCACTACAGGCTAGAGCATAATATTCTGACAGATCTGCAAGCCATGGTAGCTTCGTTGTCAGCTCACCCAGGTCTGTGCATGTGTGTCTCTTCTGCAGCTCCGACTTCACAAGAGCGAGTGCCTCAGTGTCAGCAGTGGCAAAGACAAAGTCGTCGACGTACACGAGGATGTATAGCGGCGGTAGTGAAGTGTCAGTGTGCAGAAACGGCGATGGGTGTGCAGTCGAAGGAGCAAACCCAAGAGCCGCAAGTGTCGTACCACTCATGAGGTGCTTAGCGAAGACCGTAGACTGGCCGTCGGAGGCTCCACTGGGTACCTGCAGGAAACGACCCAGTGAAGCCCGGTGGACGGTGCAGCCAGATCTCCTCGTGTAGGATGCCCTGTAAGAAAGCTTTTCTGAAGTCAAGAGAGTGAAGCTCGTAGTTACGCTGAGCGGCAACGTGCAGCAGCACCCGAAGAGTGGTCATCTTTGGGGTAGGGGAGAAGGTCTGGAAGAAGTCAACTCCCTGTCGCTGACTGAAGCCTCGAGCAACGTAACGAGCCTTGAAGACAGGCGGAGAACCCGGCGGCCGCTTCACCCTGAAAACCCACATGCCATCGACTATGTTCGCCCTAGGAGAGAGAACTGCGTCGACATATGTTCTGTGGACTTCCAGGATGCCATCTCTGCATCCATGGCTGTCTGCCACTGAGAGGAGTAGGGACCTGTAATCACGTCTGCATAAGAGCACGGGGTCGGGATGCCCAGTGCATCCGGTTCTCCCTTAGGTGCGAGCAGCATGGCCACGAGATGAGGTACAGCAGCCGCAAGACACTCAAAGTCCTCCTGCCTCTCCTCAAGGCCTCGTTGGACGAAGGACAGACGGACTCAGACTCAGCAACAAGGCTAGCGGCGTAGTCGAGACGACAGGCAACAGCAAAGTCAACAAGCTCAGCGACTAAGGCAGACGTAGCAGTGGACTCAAACGAAGGATCGGTGACAACAGTGGCTAGGAGACGCATGACAGTAGGGCTGGCAACATGAACCAGGTCAGACGCAGTGGCCGGAATGTGCGGAAGAGAGGACTCAGGAGGAGACGGCAGAGGGACACGCTGTGGAACAGAGGAAGGACAAAGTGTCATAGAATGAGTGCCAGGGACAGGAGGAGGACGCTGACGAGGAACACGGCAACCAGTGCAAATTGCGCGAACAGGCGAGGCGGCATGAGACGCAGGCTCACGAAGCTCTGTAAGCGAGTATGCCTGCTCAGTGTAAGGAGAAGGAGCAGGCAGTGAGGAGCTTGGTTGTAACGGGAGGCCAGTAGAAGACGGAAGGCTAAGAACCTGGCGAAGTGCCGAGTCAGGCGGTGGCAGAGACGACGGTGACGGCGGAGCGAAGAACAGTCGCGGCTGTGCAGTACCACCAGCACCAGTACCACCAGCACCAGCACCTCCAGTACGAGTACCAGCAGCTCCAGCGCCTCCAGCAGCTCCAGAACCTCCAGCGCCAGCACCTCCAGCTCTAGCGCCTCCAGCTCAAGAGCCTCTAGCGCCAGCGCCTCCAGCTCCAGAGCCCGCAGCACCACCAGCTCCGGCAGCTCCAGCACCTCCAGGACGAGCACCTCCGGGACCAGCAGTGCCAGTACCACCAGCACCTCCAGCACCAGTAGCACCACCAGCTCCGGCAACTCCAGTACCTCCAGTACTAGCACCTCCAGGACCAGCTCCTCCAGCTCCAGGGCCGCGAGCTCCAGCTCCAGGGCTGCCAGCCCCAGCGCCTCCAGCTCCACCGTCTCCAGTCGCAACACCTCCAGCTCCAGCAGCGCCACTCCGAAGGCGGTAGCGCTGAGCGTACCACTCGCGCAGCTGCTGTGGTGAGAGAGCACCTCCAGTACCTCCAGTACGAGCACCTCCGGGACCAGCAGTGCCAGCACCACCAGCACCACCAGTACTGGCAGCACCACCAGCTCCGGCAGCTCCAGTACCTCCAGTACGAGCACCTCCAGCTCCAGCTCCTCCAGTAACAGCTCCAGCTCCTCCAGTACCTCCAGCATCTCCAACAGTACCTCCAGAACCTCTAGGACTAGCAGCTCCAGCAGCGACACTCCGAAGGCGGAGCTGCTGAGCGTACCACTCGCGCGGCGAGAGAGGCTCCCGGAGTGGAGAAGCAGTACCCCTAGGCGCAGCACCCGTAGACTCAGCAACACCAGGCTCCGCACCAGCAGACTCAGCACCCCCAGGCTCCGCATGCTCTGTCTCAGCACCTGAAGCTCAGCACCCCTAGGCTCCGCACGCGCAGGCTCAGCACCCCCAAGCTCTGCACGCTCACGCTCAGCACCCCCAGGCTCCGCACCCTCAGGCTCAGCACCCCCAGACGCAGCACCCCTAGCAGCACCACCCCCAGCAGCACCAGAGTGACAGCAACCGGCTGCACAGGCAGCGAAGACGGTCGAGGTGGAAAACCCGGAGGGGTCTCCAAGTGTGGTGAGGGGCGAGGGGCCAACGCGTCATCGGCAGCAACGTCACCCCCCTCAGCTGGGCCAACGGTGTTGGAAGTGACATTGAAAGGCTCAGCCAAGGGGAGTGGGTCTACCTGAGACACACCTGAAGGAGCGGGACCCTGAGGGGGGAGGGGGTCTACCGGAGGGGGACTTTAGGAAGAGTGGCGGGGATGGGGGAGGGGCAATGCGGTAGGGGAAATTACGGTAAAAAGGAATCGACTCATCAAACGTGACGTCCTGAGAGGACAGAACACGGTGCGAGGGAGGGTGGTAAAACTACCATCCAGGCGCATCAGGGGGGAAGCCAAGAAAGATTCAGGGAATGGCACAGGAGGAGAGCTTGTCCGCGGAGGTAACACTGACGCATCGCCAACCTCCCCCGTCCAACGCAGTGTCGGCGAGGTCTCCGGCAAGGAGACACAGTGCCAAAGATTGAGCTGTACGCAGCGTACCGGACCGCAATCGGCCACAGAAAATGAGCAGCCGCCGCATGGATCATGGAGGTACGAGCGACCTCCACGACTAAGCCAATGCGGCGCTCAGCAACCCCATTCTGCTGCGGGGAGGCTGGAAGCGTGAACTTCTGGAGTCAAGCGTGAAGGTGTGCAAGGCCTTAGCAGGCGCAGTACCAGAGAGAGCAGACTCACTAGCACCTAGAGCAGCAGCCGCTATACCAGGGTCAGGGGGCACACACAGGTAACAGTCGCCCTCGATACTACCAGTCAGAGAATACAAGGCAGTAAGGATAGCGTCATAGTCTAGAGCAAATATATCTACTCCGTCTCGAAGCAGCTCTAGCCAGAGGGGTAGCTCAGCCTCATCGCCAAACTATGCTCGCCAGGCGTCACTGAGACGGGAGAAGCAGCGGGACTCTGTGTGACTAACTGTCCCGCAGGTGTGACGAGCCCGATCACCTGTGCGAATGACGTACGGGCAGCGAGCAGTAGTCCTACACCCCCAACTCTGAGCGTACCACTCATGCAGCTGCCGGGGCGTAAGGGTCTCGCGCGGGCGCCGCTGCAGCTGCATCTGGCCACCCCCAGAAACTTTGCACTGAACAGCTCCACCACGACTGCCACGACGGCCGCCGACAGCACAACACCTAGCGTACCACTCACGAAGCTGTTGGGGCAGAAGGGTCTCGCGCGGACGCCGCTGCAGCTGCATCTGGCCACCGCCAGAAACTCCCCACCGAACAGCTCCACAGCGACTGCTACTACGGCCGCCACCACTCCCACTGCTGCCACCTCCGCCGTCACCACTCCCACCACTACTACAAAGGGAAGTCAAAGAGGGCAAGCAAGGAGGGGCGCAACCAGTAGGGCAGTACAGAGGGAAGGCAGTAGCACGAGCAGCAGCAGCAGCAGCAGCAGTAAGAGCAGCAGAGCGGTTTGGTGAGGCTAGGCTGCAGCACCTCCAGCACTCCTAGTAGCACCTCCACCAGCAGCAGTAGTAGCACGAGAAGCAGGGCGGATCGGTTTGGGCAGGGCGGCTCGGGCTGGGGGGCGCGGCTGGGCCTGAGCGGCGCGGGCAGCAGGGTGCGCGCTGTGCAGGGCAGTAGGGCGCGATGCGCGAGCTGTAGCAGGGCGCGACGCGCGGGGCAGCAGGGCGCGACGCGCCTGCTGCAGCAGAGCGCGACGCGCGGGGCAGCAGAGCGCGACGCGCGGACTGCCGTAGGTCGCGATGCGCAGGGTAACAGGGCACGACGTGCGCGGGCTGCAGCAGGGCGCGACGCGCAGAGCAGTAGAGCGCGACGCGCGGGCTGCAGCTTGGCACGACACGCAGGGCAGCAGGGCGCGTGCTGCGGCAGAACGCAGGGCAGGGCAAGGCGTGCGCGGGGCAGCGCGATGCGGGGTAGGGCAGGGCGTGCGCGGGGCAGCGCGACGTGGGGCATGGCAGGGCGTGCGCGGGGCAGTGCGACACGGGGCAGGGTAGGGCGTGCGCAGGACAGCGCGACGTAGGGCAGGGCAGGGGGTGCGCAGGGCAGCGCGAGGCGGGGCAGGTCAGGGCGTGCGCGGGCAGGGCAGGGCGTGCGCGGGGCAGCGCGACGCGGGGCAGGGTGTACACGAGCAGTGTGACGCAAGAGAGGGCAGGGCAGGGCGCGCGCTGACGGCGCAGCGCTGGGCAGGGCGTGGGGTAACGCGGTAAGTGTAGTCGGACACTAGGTAGTGGTGGGCCCGAAAAAAAAAGAAAGAAAGAAAGAAAAAACGGTCCTACGGACCTACTGCTCTGAAACCATGTCAGAAACTAACGAGCAAGAATGGTTGCATTGAGCAGAATGTGGGTACAAGTGCGAACCCTAAACTGTCTTCTACCCTATATTGGCTACCCCACTACAGCCTACACAGCACAAACATGATAACAGTTTGACACTCTCATAATCAAGTATCGGCCAGAAGTGTCAAGCTCCAGATAGAAGTGCCAGCGCCTTTATGTCATAATATTATGTTTGTCTAGTCTGCAGTGGGGTACTCAATAGTGAGTATAACTCTTTTAGGGCTTGCTAATTGTACCCTTCCTGCTTGCTAGTGCACCATCCTCTTTGGCCAAACAGTCCCGACTCTTGCCTCAACCCTATGTCCTAGCTTCTAGTTACTAAGGCTATGGCTCCTAAGTCTACTTCTATCTAGCTTATCTTGACACTTTAAATGGTCAGCGCTTATATCTGGGGCCATACAGTAACGGATGAAGGTCCAAACATAAATGTCATTAGAATAAGACTTATAAGACTTATAAATTATGTATACAGAAGGATTTGTGCATCCAAGGATGAAAATATTGTCCAAACGTATATTTTCTACCAATTATATGGTGTCATATAATATTGAAATTGTTGGAATAACCGAAAGGTTATATAAGCATTCCTGAAGTTGTTTCACTGTACCAGTACCGCAATAGCTCATATAGAGCACGCGGAATGTCGAGGGTCACCCGAAGGTCAACCGTCCAAGGAAGTCAACGGTCGTGACCCTTGACGATCAAGTAACCGCGCGACAGTTAACTGACTGCAACATGGTAACTGTCGAGGATAGCAATAGTCACGGTTACTGTAGCTATGCAATAAGGGAATGTACCCCTCAGAGTACATGGCTAGTTAGATCTTTATTTAATCCCTTGTACTCCTATCCTTCAATCATCTTGTTCTCCTTCATTATTTTTTCAACAAGGTCATTACAGAGACTCCACTGTCTCCTCTCAGACTTAACATAATCTATCCTATCCACTAGATCCTTTGTTGTATCAGCATGGTATGAGAGCTAGAGTGGATTATAGGATCGGTCAAGCTCTTGTTCTTTCCAGAACAATCCTTTTATAAAATCGTTCATTACACTTCGAAGTCTGCAACACTATGGCTCCTGCAGGGAAAGCCACTGCAGACTCACCGGGCCCACCACCAGCAACGACCAACGCACCATCAGCGGTGACCTCCGTCAGCGCCGCTGTCGTTGAGCAGCTAGTCGCACGCATCAACGCCCTTGAAAGCCATCAAGCAATGAGCGTTGATGGCTCAAGCTATGCACGTGGCGTTGCTGGACTTCCTCTCCCCGGAGAAGACCGCCGTGTCAACTCCGAGAGATCATTTACCTTTGACAATCGTCAAGGGTCAGCTCCTGCACAAGACAACCCGCAGAGGACACAGTCAGAAATTGCCTCCATGCAAACCGAGTTCGTTTTGACTTCAAAACTCAAAACTTCAACTCCCTTTGACGGCAAGGATTTCTACACGTGGAGCTTCGAATTTGAGCTTCTCGCGACAACAGCCCAGATCTGGATGCACTACGACGGAAGCCTAGCTGCCTTTTCCCTCGGAAGGCACCATCCAGGAGAAGCATCAATATTATCACGAATCCCTCCTCGCGTACACCGCTCTCCTCCGAAATCTCTCTCCCAAAGAGCAGCTCAGCATTCGTCCGTACAAAACGGAGTGGGCTCCTGCGTACGCATCCTGGGAACACCTGCGCAACTCATACATGGCAACAGATCTAGTCACTATGAGTCGTCTACTCAGCCAGCTGACTTCGGTTAAAATGAAGCAAGGGGAGAAAGCGGGACCGTATGTTAATCGGTGCCGTAATCTGCGAGATCAAGTTAAAATGTGCGGCGGAACCGTTCCCGAAGACATGTTCATCTCAATGGTCATCTCCTGCCTCGGCCCCGACTGGCGACAATGTCATTCGCTCCTCCGCGCCCGAGCAACAATTTCGGAGTCAGCTCTGTGCGCCACGCTCCTTTCAGAGCAGAAGGAGATCGACCTGTACAACGAGAAGAATGTCAAGCGGGAGAAATTAGCCTTCTACACAGGAGGGTCTCAAGGGGAGCAACGCGGAAAGAAGGGAGCTTTCTGCAAATACTGCAAGAAGTCCGGCCACTCCATCGACCAGTGCTACAAGCGTCAGGCTGCTGATGAATGGCGCAACGCCTCCAACCAGCAAACCTCGGCTCAGTCCAAGCCTTCTACCGCCGAAACCTCCACTGTGTCGCCTCCCTCGGTCGCCAGCACTTACTCCTCAGTCCCCTGCGGTCATCACGGCAAAGGACAAAGGAAAAGGGACAATCATAAGCTGCATGGCTCGCCGCAGCAGAGGGTTCCGTTACTGGGATCGAGATCGAGTATCATTCCCTTCCGACAATCCCAACCCCGTCGCGCTCGATGCAGACAATGATCCGACAGTCCTCACCTGGTCCAATCGCCCCTCAGACATTCCTCCTGACTTCGAGCTTCCTCCCCCTACTCCGGAATCACCGCCGAGCATTTCCGCAAACATATACTTCGCCCTCTCGCCGTACACCGGCGACTTCGATCGCATCGTCACACCCAAGATCGCAAATCTTGCCCGCAAACGCCACGAGGATTTGGATCGCCGAAGTTCATCAGCAACTCTCGGCGCATGCGACGACCCTGCGAAATCACCGCCGCCAACAATGGGAAAATGAAGGCACATGAGATTGGGGAGATCTACCTCGAGGCGAATGACACGAAATTTACCATTCACATCGGGGACGTCCTCGTCGCACCAGATCTCCAATACAACCTACTTTCGTCGGCTCAACTCATGCGGTGCGGAATCGACATTCGCAGCAATCGCAAGGAGAAGAGCTTCGAACTCTTTCATGACAACACTTACATCGGCAAGGCGATCGATAACGACGGAGTCTTCGTACTGCAATTCTCGGCTCAAGGGACAACCGGCAATTCCCACCGCACGCTACTCCTGAAGACAACTCCCACGGAGGCGCCAACATGGTCACATCCCGACGAGATGGATCTCGAGCGACCCACCTCTGACGGCCTTCTGCGTTTGCGCACCGTCCCGACCGCCTCGACCTCCAATCTTGCAGAGACCAGTCCTGCCACAATGGAAGAAGACAGTGGCACGTCAGGACCTGCAACACTATCTTCCAGGGAAAACGAGCCGGCGGAAACGCGCTGGACAGGCTGGGACACTTCCGGACCCGCGCTTGGATCCTGGGGAGAAGTTCTGACTCTGGAGGAAGCGG